GAGGGGCATAAAAAGAGACGAGAGCCGGTAGGGGTTTTCTGCAAGACAACCCCTCGGTTTCTGGTCGTCTGCGCTCTAACATGAGTCTGAGCTAGAGGACAGGACGCCGAGACGCCACTGAGTGAGCGAAAATGGCCCACCGAGCACGCCGCCACGTTCGATTGAAGCGCGCAGCCGCGCCCCCTCCATCTCCGGGATATATAGTGTATTACCCTTCACTCTACAATACGTTCAATGACGAAACCCCCTTAGATTCACTAAGAAGTATAACTTTCAATTTACTTATGCAAATTGTGAAAGAAGTAACGTAACAACTTTCTGAACCTACAAGTAGATGATAGAAATGAGCGAAACAAACAATCAACAACAACGTCTCAACTTAACTAATAGGTAAAAGACTAACCTAACTATTGTTGCTTTCTATGAAGAAAAAGGGCAACAAGGCCCCGGCGATCTGCTAAGAACTATTCGAAAAGTTACTATACAATATTCGAAGAACACTTTCAAATCATAGCTTTCAGCTTTTCACAATTGGTTTCCCTCTACCGGCTTTTTTGAACTGTTGAGCGTCTCGCTCTTTCAACTGTGCGAGAGTGGGTGGAATTGCTTTGTTCGCTGCAATAACGTTAAGTGAAAGAAACGATGGTCGTAGCACAGCCGCCATGTTTCTAAGACGACTAAATGCTAGAAGCGAGTTAGCCCTGGGAACCAACCTTTATAACCTGCCATAACCTCCTTAAACGCATTTTTCTTCTTCCGCGCCGTAGGATCGACTACGATCGGTGGAATATTGAATATCTTCCGAATAGCTGGCGTTCGAAATGCGCCCGCATACAGAAGGGACATCATGTTCGAGGCACACCAGTACACACACAGACCCTAGAACAACAACTGCTGATATGAAATCATACGTTCCAAGCTAAACGAAACTTACCGAGGCAAACTGCGAACTGATGGCGAAAATGACTACTGGTAAAGCATATTGCATTCCAATTCGCATGGTTGGCGTCATTTGATCAGCAGAAGTGCCCATTTCAATGCCAACCTTGAAAAATATTATGCAGATAAACAAGTATTCAAAAACAGTTCCCGCGATCGAGTGATCCGCAAACTGGAACTCTTTGAGAGTCCAGTTTATAAAACTTCCCAAAACCAAAGACGACAGGGATGAGGTAGGCACTCACCCGCGTCACCAAGCCCATCGTTACGGCGCTGATTAATGGCAGCGCATAGTACGGGTCCGCAACCGTTAAATCCGTGAACCATGCCGTACCACCAGTTGAAAGGCCAGGATAATTGACCTGCAAAAATACTGTAAAGAACGTATCGAACAAGTTGTTCTCAAGATTGTCTTCAGCAGGCTGAAACGAGAGCAGAGGCGCAATAATGACGGAAACACAAGCATCTCCAAAACCGTTTGAGTAAAATACATGAACCATGCGTTCGTGGGGAAGCATCCAGCATCCACTCTGGTTCAACTTTCATATTCGCAATTTTTATTGGGTGGCTGACTTTCTGTAAGCGACACAATACCACCGGATAGTGATGGTCTCTAGGAGTAAAGAAAATCAAATGATTGTTCAGACCAACGCTATACGACATCATAATCCGCAACAGATGGTCAACAAATAAAGGATCTGGCTTCACTTCCCCCTACCGCAGCTTTCAAAGTTTCAATCAAAACCTCGACTGGTCTAAAAATTTGTCAGCAGCCATAGTTCGACTCCTGAACAAGAACCCAACGTATGCTTAGCACGAAACCGCTCTGCAGAAATACTGCTGAACAAACCTTCCTAGCTGCCTGCTGAGCAAAACATCTCTTTACTAGAATTCACGCCTAGCAAAAGAAGAGATCATTCCCTCCGAGAATGGGTGCAGACGTTAGAAAAGACCATGCCGCCCAGGTCCCTTCACCCATCACCCATTTTGTATCCCCCGCGAATGTTACACTTGTTTTAGGCGGTCAAGCTCTGAAGACAAATTTTCAGCGAATTTGCTTATTTAAGGTAAATCTGGCGCCAGAGGATGTGATTGATATCAGTGCTCAAGAGGGTCAAACTACCCATTTTGATGAAATTTATCATTGGTAGAGGGAAATGGGAGCCAGAACTTCATATGAAAAGAAATCGCGGGAGTAGCAGGCAGCAGATCATGCCTGCCTTGTGAGAGTACGTCACAGTTACAGCTCGGTTAGGGTAAGGACAAGGTCTGCTGCAGTGAGCCCCTTACGCATCCTTCCTCCTCCCCTCCTCCCAACTGCATTAATACAAAAGTTTATTTCGAGTTTGTTGTTGAATTAAACTCACATCAACCATCTTCCTTATTGCGAAGAACTGAGTAGCAAAGACACCACCATTGGCAAGAAGGATAAGAAACTGTCGCCCCAGTCGAATGTCCTTGGCTTTCAAAAAGTCGCGTTGCTCCAAGAAAATTTGCTGTTCTATAAAAATGAATCTCATGCACCTAGCCTAACTTTCCTATTAAGAACACGCTATGAAATAAGCAAAAAACAGGAGACTGATCTTTTTCAATGATTCTTTTCTTATTTTCATCTACAAGAGACGGTAGATTGAGCAGTGCAGCCCTCAAGGAATGAAATTGCACACTCACGCAATAAGTTGTTACCCTCCTGACGAGCAGCCTGAATTCGTTGACGGAAATCCTCCAACTCCTTCTTGTAACGACTTTGTTTAGCAACTAATCGTTGAGACATAATGGGCACAATTATGAGCGAAAGACGCAAAGCAACGGTAGCTAAAACGCGGAGCATTATACACTTGTGATGGAGTAGATTTCTGCGAAAACTGAGGAACTTAGTCACAGTAACAGTTATGGAACCTTTCGTACGAAATGAACCCATTTTCAGCGGTACCAAAGCGTGTGGAACTGCTACAATTTATATCAGGATTTGCTTGCTAATCCAGCTCACCGCAAACGATTGTCGTCCACCAAGGGAGGTCCGCATGCATGTGTATACCTTCCAAAGCCATACGAAAGTAACTTGATGGTTTCCACCAAGATAGCAATCCCAGTTCACCCAGAACCGATTCACCTGCCTGAAAGACCTTTGTTATCAAGCTATAAACAACGAATAGCGTGCAGAACTCTTCTGAAGGAATTCGTTGACTAAGCTTCGAACAAGTAAAGGATGACATTTCTTCGAAATTATTACACCCAGGAATTGCACGAAGCCAACACGCGATGAACATTGTATAGATTCACCGCGTACATCTCATTCGTTCGTATTTATAACGCAAACATTCAAATTACTGACGACTTGGTGTGAAGAACACGTCTTTGGAATATGCGCATTTTTGTATTGTGAAGAGGGTCAGGAAATTCAAAATAAAAAAAATCAAATTGAGGCAAACATCTCACCTCAACCATCTCCTCCACGGTTCTCATCGGAGGTGGTGGTAATGGCATAGCAGGAACATCAGGAGCTGCCTATCTATCAGTTTTTAGTAAGAGATATTAATCATTTCATGAAATACACTTGAATTACACAGTATACATATTACCTGCGTAGCATAATTGAAGATATCTTTTGATGATATATGCCGTACCTGAAATAATCACACATGACCGCAGTTAAGTGTTCCATCATGGGCTTTTGAGTTATCCCTGATTCCAACAACAGAAATACTTTTTGAAAGGTGAAAAAACCCAGCCCTAAAGCAGCAAAACGAGTGCCAAGGGATGGGTATTTTCTTGACCATGTTGTCGACAGAAGGAGCACCTCGGCGGAAGAACTTGTTTATTTAGCAGAGATGGGCTTGCAAACTATTGTAAATGAATTACCCATCTTACTGGTAGAACACGAACGCTGTTCCTTGAAAGGCGTAGCAGCTCTTCATAATCCAATAAACTAACAAAATCACTCCAGTGTTGGACGTTAAACCCGTAGAGGCAATCTATTCCATCCTTTCTGTGATATTTGCAGATAACCCATGTGAAATACCCAAGCTTGTTTCGTTCGCAACCTGCTACCAAAAGCGGCTAAACTTTTCATTCACCACAAAGAAATCACTACCAGGACGTACCTGTTGATTACAATAAAAAGTAGCACGTGATGACAGCTCCACTGCAATGAGCCCTCGCCGCAGCGCGACTCGTGGAACAGACAGCATCTCTGCTGCGAGGGACCCGAAACCTAGGGCTTGCCATTTCACAGCTATCGACGAATGCAACCCCATGGATATGTGGAAGTGTGGAACAACCATGTAAGCAGAAAAACAAGCTCAGATAAATTTTTATTATCACAAAACACCGTCAGAACAATATCCCAGCTTCTCTCTTCTTGCAACCTCTGCGTGCTAGTTGTAAGTATTCCACTCGTTTTGTGCATCCTATGAGGTTTTGAGTTGAGGATTCTTTTCTCTAAAGACGACAATTCAATCGAAACTTTAGGCTATACTCAATAAATTTCTCACCTAACATCATCACAAAGCAGAAGACAAGTAAAACACCTAAAATTGTCACAACATATTTAATTTTAATAGATTTCATGAAGAGATCGAATATGCCAATGGGAACAATTCATGCGACAGGAGGTACACAGAGATGACTTTGCGGTAACAATTTTTTTTCTGTGCAGTCACATTTTCAAATATGAAACCTTTTGAGGAAACATCTGTTTCAAACAAGGAGGAATCAAATCAATGTGGTAGGAAGCAAGACTTTCGACAAGTCCAAGTACTATAAACGAGAAGAAAGAAGTCCATTTGTACAGCATCTGCTTTCACGACTTTTCGAAAAGGATTACATAGCGATTGCGATCGCTATCACAGCAAAAATGAAATATATAAGGAAGGAATAAAATAACAGCAAGCATCATCACGTAAATCTCAGGTTCACAAGCTTTTCAGAAGTGCTTATTCTCACTCACGAACTATGGTACAGTATTCACACTAGAAATCAGTGATAGAAGTAAACATTTACTCAATAATATAACGGATTATAAGTAACCCAGTGCTGTTCGGGTTTTCTCTTTGCTTCCTCACAAGTAGTGAACAACTTTTTGTAAGCTTCTGACTTTGTTGGATCTGACTGGATATCGCTTTCTGCTTTCCGCTTCTCTGCTTTTTTCAGCTTGCATTTATCTGCATCTGAAAAATTACACGGATGTACTCCTATGAGATATGATAGACTGCTGAACAGAAACCATGTTCCGAGAATATATGTGCGCATTACGCTTGAAGAACCAGCGTGTATTATACATCTCTCAAAATAATCAATGCAGCCTCTCAAATTCATCACGACACATCAGTATGGGTGCTGCAGCAGCACAAAGCTTATAAGAACAGAAATACTCTAGGAGTTACGTTTGATAAGTTCTTCTGTGCACACGAGGTTGCTAGGTGGAAACTATAAGTTCTTCTGTGCATACGAGGTTGGTAGGTGGAAACTTTATTACGGCCTGACGTTTCGACTAGATCGTCTTCATCAGAGGCCTAAACGTGGCTCATGGTTTGCAACTGCTCTCTGTACACCGCCAAAGATCTCTTCCCTAACGTTTCTGACAGACTGGAGAAAATCACCAGGAAATCCCGAATGAGAGAAAAGACGCACCCAGTCTACCACAGCGAAAGCGGAAGTAACCGCTGTGGTGGACGGGTGAGTCTTTTCTCTCATTCGGGATTTTTGGGTGATTTTCTCAAGTCTCAGAAACATTTGGGAAGGATTAATCTTTGGCGGTGTACAGAGAGCAGTTGCAAACCATGAGCCACGTTTAGGCCTCTGATGAAGACGATCTAGTCGAAACGTCAGGCCATAATAAAGTTCCACCTACCAACCTCGTGTGCACAGAAGAACTTATCAAACGTAACAACAATGCCGAGGTTTTACGAAGAGAGAAGTTGGACACTACTCGGGGAGCCTTTAACAAATTTGCCAATTTATAGTCTAGTTCGCTGTGGACGAAGGGGCATGTCAGGCAGGATGAGTATGGCAAGTAGCCAAACCCGATCACCACCAGTTGTTGAAGCTAGCAAGCGACAAAACTATGTCACAAGGTTCGTATCACGATTTTCCATCAGTTGTGGGCGAATACGGGCCTCAACAGGTCGGAGAGAAGGGGCTTGGCGCCGTGACACACTCGTAGGGTTTACACGCCCTTCATTTGCAGCAAATTGGAGTATATCCACATTTTCTCGGAATCTCTTGAAAGACGGAATACACAGAGCAAGATGGGTGCGGGAAGACATGAAATCTTGAAACTTTCGCGGACCGGCTCAAAACAGGGATAGGTAGCACTCGTCTGTAACGTGGACGCCATACGGTCTAGTGCCAGGCAGATGTGATTATCGTGTTCAGTAAGTCAAACTGACCCTGGAGTCAGATCTTTAGCACATTAAATGCAGATTTCAGGCAGACCTGCCCAGGAGGAAGAAGTGGTAAGAAACCGACTTGAGTTGGGAAACTGGGATAGTAGACGGTGAACTGTGGCAACAATTCAAATGCTTGATATGATAGCTGCTGTTCGTGTTCCGATACTCATCACAAGAGTGTTGAGTTATCGGCAAAAGTCGAAAAAAAGGGGGCAGTCGAACCCGCAGCTCACGCTTTCCAGGCAATGCGCTATCCATTACGCCACCAGGGCCACTTTTACCCTCTTAGCTCAACAGCTTTATGTCGTCGCCTTACAACACTCACACGTTAAATGTTTGAGTGAACGACATACCCTCTCCTTTCTTATGATCGCTGCCGACCTTCTTCGCAGAACCGTTGATGACCACTTTCTTCTCGCTATCTTCTTCAACTGGCTTCTCATTTTCACCATTCTTCTTCTTCTGTTTTTTCTCGGCACGCTCAGCAGATAGCTTTTGCTTGTAAGTTTCGAGTAATTCGTCGTCCGGATTCAAAACGACCGATTCTTCTGGATTCCATGGACCACCGCATCCATGACAAACGTCTGACTTTACCTGAAAACTAGTTGTGCAATCTAAAGAGCTTAAGAATAGGTAAAATCGAAGGTACCTCTTGTAGAGCTTTTTCTGAGAAGACACATCCGCACTTCCAGTTCACAACGAAACTATTGATTCCATTCATGGGCACACTTGTGACAGGGCACAGGAACTCGGACTGCAAAAAGACACGACACGTAGATGAGATCGAAAGTTGCAGCCAGCTGAAAACAGTTGATCGCTTACCTGATTGTAATCAAGGTACTCATCTCCCTTCACTTCGCCGCTGTTGTAATCCTTATTCTCCTTCAATTTCAGTTCTTTGAAGTCCTGTAATAAAACACAGCACCTTTTTGGGTACGTGGCGAAAGTAAAGCGAAAATAACATCATAGACCAACTCAGACTAAAACACCAGATCAGATCAGATCAGAAAGATCCCAGACCCTTAGCCCAAAACTTCACAGACCGCCTTCAGACTTCGCAATCCGATCGTTTGGATCGTGCGATCGGATCCCTCGAGCGTTCGGATCGCAAAGTGTGAAGGCGCTCTAACCACAGGATATCCCATCAATGGACATCATACGAATCACTCTAAAACCTATTACCAATTATTATAAAGCAATGCATGAGCTGAACATATCGCAAGAAACGTGATGGTACTGTGTATTAAAAGATGTAGGTGGAACATCTCAAAGTATCCAGAGCTGATCATAAATCCTGTAGCGGATACGCGACATCCTATTAAGTTCCGTTACTCTGGTATTTTGCAGAAAACACCACGAAAGTAGCAGCAACACAATGTCGCTAGTTGATACCAGAAGTTTCACCAGAAGCGCTTATCTGGTTACTTAAGATTTTAATTTTGCACCTCGGGCGATTCTGAGCGATTCTTCCTGTATTTCTTGACTGGTAAGAAGTTTTGGAATGCTCGGACTGATGAGCAGTGTAAAACGAAACCCTCTTCAAACCGTCCACTACTTCTTCATAGCAAACATATTTCCGGTGAAAACTGCAAAAAGTAAAATTGAAACAGCGCATGGAATGCGAGAAGGATGCAAAAATGCTGAGTGATGGGCAAAATACATACCACGAGATGGCATTTAAACTTGCACCTCATGCTTCCTGGGCGAGTGTGCTTCCCGCTACCCCACCTGGGCTACATCTTAGCCTCGCAGTTTGAAAGTTTTTGTGCCCTAGCCCTACAGCGCTTGATGTAAGGGACGCTAATAACGGACGCTAGTGACAAGAACAGACAACGTGGAACTGATGCTGTATTGACAATGTTGAAGGCACGGCCCGCGCCCATTCGATAGGCAGACGCCCTCTTTGGACGTAGTGTGCTGTAAGTAAGCATGGAGGACACACTACATTCGCAGCACAAAAATCTGTAAGAAAAGTGCGACCTGCTCGGGAAAAGGTCATGACTCCGCCCACGCCCAACTATTATTCCTAAAGGTATCCTGGTGCTTTGTTAAGCTTGAAACTCTTCCCGATTTCGGATTGTAAGGGTGTTCTGACAATGAGAAAGAGCTGATTTTAACCAGTTTTCGGTTCCATATGAAGCATTTCAAACTGATTTTTTTCTTGTTGCTGTTTCTTGCTTTTTTTTGTTATTCGCCATATCGTCGTTAGCAGTTGGAAGCACAATCCACTATTTTGTACCCGAGGCGTGTCTTTGATTTCCCTTTATCCATTCTTACTACGGAGGATTCTCACACACCGTTTTCCATTAGTACTAAATGTCATTATCACGTATCAAATAGTGATTGCATAGCAACACGGATAGGAACGCATGTAGTTCATTCAGCAATTCACCGCCAATCGACACGGCAGAGTAATGTTTGCAGTACTCGACACCATTGTTTTGGTGAGTGTTCGGTGAAACCATAACGGCTATCACAGCGCAGAAGTTTCGAGTTTCAAAATCACTTGTACACAATCCAGAAACATAAACGCCACCAGACGAGCATTTCTGGACTTTCACAAGCAGCGATATACAGTATACTACATGACTTCAGTTAGGAATTATTCCCACATTTGGACAATCGATCATCAA